TTCAAAGAGGAATTAATATCAATTCTATTTAAACTATTACAAAAAATTGAGACAGAGGCCACATTTCCAAGCTCATTCTATGAGGCCAGCATCACCTTGACACCAAAACTAGACAAGGATGAAACAAAACAAGAAAACTACCAGTCAATATCTCTGATGAACATACATGCAAAACTCCTCAAAAAAATATTAGCAAACAGAATACAGCAACACACCAAAAAAATTATATACCATAATCAAATGGGATTAATCCTAGGGATGCAAGTATATCAAGTGGAATTCATCCCAGAAGTGCAAAGATGGGTTCAACATACTCAAGCAATAAACGTGATACACCACCACAACAAAATCAAGGACAAAAACTATGATTATCTCAATAGATGCAGAAAAAGCATTTGACAAAATTCAACATCCCTTCATAATAAACATTCTCAGCAAATTAGGTATAGAAGGAAAGTATCTCAACACAATAAAAGTCATTTATGACAAACCCACTGCCAATATCACCCCGAACAGGAACAAAATAAGGACACCTACTCTCACCATTCCTATTTAACATAGTATTAGAAGTGCTAGCCAGAGCAATCAGGCAAGAGAAATAAATAAAGGGCCTTCAGATTGGAAAAGATGAAGTCATCTTGTCCTTGTTTGCAGATGACATGATCCCATGTGTAGAAAAACCTAGACTCTACAAAATAAAACTCTTAGAGCTAATGCACAATTTCAGTAAAGTTGCAGGATACAAAATCAACACCCTAAAACTGGTAGCACTTTTATACTCCAATCACAAACTAGCACAAAAAGAAATCAAGAAAGCAAGCCCATTTACAACAGTCACTAAAAAAATAAAATATCTAGGAATCAATTTAATCAAGGAGGTGAAAGATCTCTATAATGAGAACTACACATCACTGCTGAAAGAAATTAAAGAGGACATAAAAAGTTGGAAAAGACATTCATACTCTTAGATTGGAAGAATCAACACTGTCAAAATGTCCATACTACCAAAAGTGATCTATATATTCAATATAATCCCCATCAAATACCAATGACATTTTTCACAGAATAGAAAAAACAATCCTAACATTCATACAGAACCAAAGACTATGAATAGCCAAAGCAGTTCTGACCAAACAAAATAAAGCTGGAGGCATAACACTACCTGACTTCAAATTATACTACAAAGCTATAGTAACCAAAACAGCATGGTACGGGCATAAAAAGAGGTACCCAGACCAAAGGAACAGAACAGAGAACCCAGAAATCAACCCACATACTTACAGCCAATTGATATTTGACAAGGGCAAGAGGAACATACATTGGGGAAAGGGCCATCTCTTTCACAAGTGGTGCTAGGAAAACTGGACATTCATATTTGTAGAAGAATGAAAGTAGACCTGTACCTCTCTCCATGTACCAAAATCAACTCAAAATAGATTAAAGACTATCAATA